CCGCGCAATTGTCAGTTAAACTAGTGCAGTGCTGTATAGCAAAAAAATGGCGTAAATTGCAATATCTATACCATAGTTTGTAGACGCTATAACTTTCACACAAAGCAATCAATATACACTTTTTGGGATTTTTTTTTACCAAAAACATGTAGCGGAATACATTTTGGCCTAAATTTATAATTAGCTTTGAGTTTACTATATATATTTTTTATAGCCGAAAGTAAAAAATATTGTTTTTCTTCAAAATGTTCGATCTTTTTTTGCTTATAGCACGAAAAATAAAAATCGCACAGGTGATAAAATACCACCAAAAGAAAGCTCTAATTGTGTGAAAAAAAGGACGTAAATTCAGTTTGGGTACAGCATTGCATGACCGCTCAATTATCAGTTGAATTAGTGCAGCGCCGAGTAGCAAAAAGAGGCCTGGTCATTAAGGGGGGTAAATCCTCAGGAGGGCAAGTGGTTAAGCAAGCAAACATCTTGGCTACAAGCCATAGATCTCCATGGCCTCATCATAACCTAGTCACATGGCAAGATCAACATTTTAATTTACTGTTTAGAACATTTATGAGCAAAAAATCAGACAGGGTACATTGTTTGAAAATGCTTGTAGAACTACAATACTGCTACTAGCACTCCAGATAGATTATATTAGTCATGGGACAACATAATTTGTTAACCTCCTACCCTATTTTTTTTTTATTGCCAAAGATGTACTGTGCACTTGTGGTTATATAGACATCAGACATCAATAGTAAGGAGACAAAAACTGCTATGCGCTTGAACATATGACAGGTCAGTCACAAAGCATAAAGAATGGAGGATTCTTTTAAAAATCATTCAAGGCATAACTGAAAACATTAGAAAAAAAGAGTTCAAAATAGAAAAAAATACCAAAAAGACTTTCAGCTATAGTAAGTGATACATGGGCTAGATTGAGTAATATTGTTAAACGCAGCCAAGTAATCTTGCTGAACATATTATTTAGTTTTTTTCTTAACACCTTATGTTTGTGTTACTCAGAAAACAGTACGTACATTTATTTGTTTTGTTCAATGTGCAGTGCATTGTATACTAAATACATTATTGTAGCTTATACCACCCAAATGCATTTTCTATTTTGCTGTGTTAGTTGTTTATTTAGTGCTTCCAGAGACTGTACTCATTGTTTAGTGAAAAAATCGAAGAACATTTACATGAAAATCCCTTTACTTAGTTATTTCTGTTATGTATAGGTGTTTGCCTGAGAGAAAAGTCTTTTATGTTTTGGTGATATGTTTTACCTCTTAGATTATGCAATTGTATTTCATCACCTCTGATGACGGCTTGATGCTGAAACACGTAAAGTGTGGCTTGGATTGTGACCACATTTCACACAGCCTGTCTTGCTCGTGGCTTGGTGAGCCAGTGGGAGCCGACAGGGCTATTGAATGTAAACGTGTAATCCTAAGTGTCGGGCTGACACTGACTGTTCACAAGAACAATATTTTTGTGATGCTTAATAAATGTTGAAACCAGGGGCGGACTGACAACTCATGGGGCCCCTGGGAAATAGGAATCATGGGACCCCTGTGTCCTTGCCCACACCCAAAAAAGCCTATGAAAAAGACAATGAAAGGTACCAGGGGAATCTCATGGGGCCCCCTACTGACCCCGGGACCTCAGGCAGTGCCCGAGTGCTCAAATGGTCAGTCCGCCCCTGGTTGAGACTTTCTACACTATGGGTGCCTCTCTTTCCCTCTATTTGTATGCATGGGATAATGCAATGTGACTGGATGAGTAGGATTAACCCCCTATGTGCTGGAGAGGACTTTCCACTTGCTGAGAGAGTTGTTGGCTTACATTGAAACATTGTGATACTTTCATCATGCAGATTGTTTTTTATGTTTGTTGTTCCCCATTTGGTGAGTACGCTGTGTGCTCCGGGACAGGTCACCTGGTGATATGAACAGCACTTTGGAACATTTTTGCACTACAGCACTTGGGAAATGTATACACAATGTTTTACATGAACTCCACGTTTTTGCACCTGATATGAAATTTTCATTTTTATTCAGCATATGAACTTTATGAACTAATTCATGACACTTAGAGGAACTTATTGCACATACATCATTTTTAGACATTGTTGTGTATGCTTGTTGATGTATTTATTTATTTATGTATTTATTTTTGATGCACTATTTAGGTTTGAGGTTTGACTACACATTCACATATTCATATGTATATATATATATTTATTCATATTTTTAATTAATTAATTGGTGCAGGTAATATTTGACACACTTGGTTGTTGGGAGGATTCAGGATGATATAGCTCGATTACACCTCACATTATACCTTTGCAATTGTATTGACAAAAACATTTGTTGAGTTCACGTGTTTAATGAAAGATGAATGATGAGGATTTAGTGTAGGAATTGTATATACCTATTTATCTAAGTGAATCCAAGTCCTATTCACAGAGCAACAGTCAGTATTTACAGCTAGCAGAGTAATTCATCCTTTACAGTTTATTCTTTTTGATACTTTTTTGCAAAATTTGTAAGCAAATTTGGTACAATAAGTCATACCCTTTAAGACTTCGCCCACCATTTGATACAACTACTAATAATTTAACCCACACAACCTATATTCACCTTTTCCCCCCAGCTTCTCCATACATAGACGTTGTACTACGGTTTCTATGACTGAAACACAGTCTATGAATGGAGGATGGTTGGATGATTAAAAGGTCCACCCCCTCCATTCATTAATTTGGAAAGGGCATAATTGGGCACTCTTGCGAGTTCCTGTCAAAGCTCTCTCAGTTTTTTTTTTTTACCTGTGCCACATTAGAAGACTAGGTTGTTGGGAGTGAAAGGTAGTTCAGATGATGAAGATTTGAAGGAAAGAAGGAGCTAGAGCTCCAGGCACACACCGTGTCCCTTGTGCTGATTTTTTTTTCTTTTTTCTTTTGGCAAAACCTAAGATTTAAGCCTTTGCTGCAGTTGTTTGATTGCATGTATGCACTGCACAGTAACTTACTTTCTTGTCACAGATTGCTATTTTACAAGTGTTCCTGTTCAACTTCAAGGTACTAGAATTATTCTAGCAAATCAACTTTGATGACTAATATATCACTCTGATGGATAATATACCAGTACACACTGGAGACTGTGACATCCTAATATTACTGTGCATGTTATATTTCACTCTCAATGACTTTGTGTGTGCTGTGTAGTAAAAAATTGAATTTTATCATCTGTTACTGTTATTTGAATGCAGGCAGAATCAAGAATACTAGACATGAAACCTTGAAACCTTAACAACACTGCACTATTTAACCACTTGCCCTCCAGAGGATTTACCCCCCTTCCTGACCAGGCCATTTTTTATGATACGGCACTGTGTTACTTTAACTGACAATTGCGCGGTCATGCAGCTCTGCACCCAAATTAAATTTATGTCCTTTTTTTTTCCCCACAAATAGAGCTTTCTGTTGGGGGCATTTTTAATTTTCTAAAAAATTTAACAAAATTAAAAAAAAAAACAATATTTTTGACTTTTTGCTATTAAACATGTCCAGTAAAAACATTTAAAAAATCAAATTTCCTCATAAATTTAGGCCAAAATGTATTCTGCTACATGTCTTTCCTAAGAAAAAAATCCCAATACATGTAAATTAATTGGTTTACATGAAAGTTATAGCATTTACAAATGGCGGTATATATACTGGAATTTTTTTTTTAAACTAGTAATGGCAGCCATCAGTGACTTTTAGCGGGCCTGCGGGACTGTGGGGGGCATTATGACATTGGGGGGGGGAACTGACGTGGCGTCACTGACATCCCCAGTGACACCAATACAATGATCATTGCTAATAAAGAGCACTGACACTGTACTAATGGCACTGGGCAGGAAGGGCTTAACATGTGGGCGATCATATGGTTAACTGTGTGCTGTTTTACCATGGGGGCTGTGTGTGTGTTTCAGTGTAAGCACACTGCTTTGTATGCCTCTGCTACGCAGAGGCATACAAAGCAATGTGTAGGAGCTGGCAGGGGAGAGATCTGTATTGTTTACATACAGTTCTCTCCTCCATTGGAGATCCTCGATGACCGCCAGGTTCCAGTGGGAAATCAGCAGCCAGGATTGACAGCCGAGGCTGCAAATGGCGGCGCGGGTATGGCACGTGCTGTATTGTCTCCCGTTATATTGTAAAGCGTTGAGCACATTTCCAACCTGGAAACCACCGGGTTTCTCACAGACTTCTTCCATACAGCCTGAGCCTCACACCTGCACCAGAGAATACAGGCCAGGTGATCATCTTTGAGGCCAGCCACATTCCCTCCCTGAGTCCTGCCCAATCAAAATGCGAGCCTCAGCAGGCTACGCATTGTGGATGTTCTTTAGAAGTGAGTGAGTCCTCGAGTGCCACCTGATCAGCTGCTGGGGCGGGAGTAGGGGTAGAGATGTCTGCCCCCAGCATGTGTGCCCCAATGTGAAAAACACAATCTGTCATTCTGTGCGTTCAGGAGTGTGTGAGTCCCCGCTTGATCAGATGCTGGGGGAGGAGGTAGGGGAAGGGATCTCTGTCCCTGGCATGTGTGCCCCGATTCACATCATATCTATTATCTGCAAGCATAGTTGAAATTGGGAACTATGCTCTCATGGGGCCCCCTACAGTGCCCAAGTGCCTCAATAGTCAGTCCGCCCCTGCCCAGAGCTAATGCAACGTTTTTTTCCTGACCCTCTAGAGCAGCGGTTCTCAACCTGGGGGTCGCGACCCCTTTGGGGGTCGAACGACCATTTCCCAGGGGTCGCCTAAGACCATCGGAAAACACATATTTCCAATGGTCTTAGGAACCGAGACGCCGCTCCTGTCTCCGGCGATGTGTGGGCGGGATGATATGCTGCCCCTGTCACCGCCTCCTCGCCGCTGATTGGCCACTGGAACTGTAGCTCAGGAGAGGCACACAGGCGGCCAATCACCGGCGAGAAGGTGGAGCTTGGAGAGGAGGAGCCGAGCGGCATCGCGCGGAGATCGAAGAAGATCGAGGGAGCTGCAGGAACGAGTGAAGAGAGAGGCCAGAGAAGGAAGACAGCTGACAGGTAAGTGCAAATTTTGCTGCTGCAGCCAGGTATGCAGGCTGTAGATGGGAGAGGGAGAGGGCGAGCCCAGGCTGGAGCAGGAGTCAGCAAGGTAAGTATCATTGGTGTCAGTGGGAGGGATAGTGCCCCATCATTGGTGTCAGTGGGAGGAATAGTGCCCCATCATTGGTATCAGTGGGAGGAATAGTGCCCCATCATTGGTGTCAGTGGGAGGAATAGTGCCCCATCATTGGTGTCAGTGGGAGGAATAGTGCTCCATCATTGGTGTCAGTGGGAGGAATAGTGCTCCATCATTGGTGTCAGTGGGAGGACCAACGATGGGGCACTATTCCTCCCCCCACTGACACCAACGATGGGGCACTATTCCTCCCCCCACTGACACCAACGATGGGGCACTATTCCTCCCCCCACTGACACCAACGATGGGGCACTATTCCTCCCACTGACACCCACAATGGGGCACTATTCCTCCCACTGACACCAATGATGGGGCACTATTCCTCCCACTGACGCCAATGATGGGGCACTATTCTTCCCACTGACACCAATGATGGGGCACTATTCCTCCCACTGATACCAATGATGGGGCACTATTCCTCCCACTGACACCAATGATGGGGCACTATTCCTCCCACTGACACCAATGATGGGGCACTATTCCTCCCACTGACACTAATGATGGGGCACTATTCCTCCCACTGACACCAATGATGGAGCACTATTCCTCCCACTGACACCAATGATGGAGCACTATTCCTCCCACTGACACCAATGATGGGGCACTATTCCTCCCACTGACACCAATGATGGGGCACTATTCCTCCCACTGATACCAATGATGGGGCACTATTCCTCCCACTGACACCAATGATGGGGCACTATTCCTCCCACTGACACCAATGATGGGGCACTATTCCTCCCACTGACACCAATGATGGGGCACTATTCCTCCCACTGACACCAATGATGGGGCACTATTCCTCCCACTGACACCAATGATGGGGCACTATTCCTCCCACTGACACCAATGATGGGGCACTATTCCTCCCCACTGACACCAATGATGGGGCACTATTCCTCCCACTGACACCAATGATGGGGCACTATTCCTCCCACTAATACCAATGATGGGGCACCATTTCTCCCACTGATACCAATGATGGGGCACTATTCCTCCCACTGACACCAATGATGGGACACTATTCCTCCCACTGACACCAATGATGGGACACTATTCCTCCCACTGATACCAATGATGGGACACTATTCCTCCACTGACACGCCAATGATGGGGCACTATTCCTCCCACTGACACCAATGATGGGACACTATTCCTCCCACTGACGCCAATGATTGGGCACTATTCCTCCCACTGACGCCAATGATTGGGCACTATTCCTCCCACTGACGCCAATGATTGGGCACTATTCCTCCCACTGACGCCAATGATGGAACACTATTCCTCCCACTGACACCAATGATGGGGCACTATTCCTCCCACTGACACCAATGATGGGACACTATTCCTCCCACTGACACCAATGATGGGACACTATTCCTCCCACTGATACCAATGATGGGACACTATTCCTCCCACTGACACCAATGATGGGGCACTATTCCTCCCACTGACACCAATGATGGGACACTATTCCTCCCACTGATACCAACGATGGGACACTATTCATCCCACTGACATCAGTGATGGGGCGCTAGTCCTCCCACTGCAAAATTACAGTTATGAAGTAGCAACGAAAATAATTTTATGGTTGGGGGTCACCACAACATGAGGAACTGTATTAAGGGGTCGCGGCATTAGAAAGGTTGAGAACCACTGCTCTAGAGGTTGTTGCTAAGTTAAAACCAGGGGCGGACTGACAACTCATGGGCCCCCGGGCAATAGGGGATCATGGGGCCCCTGTGTCCTTGCCCAAACTCAAAAAGCCTATGAAAAAGGTACCAGGGGCATCTCATGGGGCCCCCTACTGACCCCGAGCCCTCGGGCAGTGCCCCAGTTTCCAAATGGTCAGTCCACCCCTGAGTAAAACCCACATAATCATATCTGAGAGGTGTGTTGGAGGCAGTACTGGAGTGATTTATAACGTTCCAGTGGACACACCTTTACCCAACTGTATACCTGGGCAATTTTTTTAATTTTTTGGTAAAATCTGCATTTTTTACTAGAAGTTACTGTAAAACCCCAGAAAATATATATTTTCTAAAAGCAGACACCCAGAAGAATAAGGAAAATAAAATGCAGTGGCAATTTTTTTTTTATGTTGCACAAGATTTGCAGTTATTTGTCAAGGAAAAAATACACTAAAATGGATTGTAGTGCAGACAAACACAATATTATACCCAATGTTTTGTCAAAATATAAGAAATGAGTTTGCATTGTGTAAATAGAAACAAAAATGTCATGTCAAGCCTTACAATTGTGTATGCCCGTGGAATTGCAAGTTCCCAAAATTCTCCATAGGCAACACTTTAAAACGTCTTTACAAATTATTGACCACCTTGACTATTGTCAGTTTGTTGATGTTGTATTCTCAAACATTGCCCTTATAGCTTAGCTTGGTATAATCTGTCATTGTATACTGCACTTCTGACAGTATGTAAAAAAAAATGTGAAAAAGCAAATTGTATTAATTTCTTAATTTTTTAAAAAAATTGTGACAAAAAAAGGACAAGTTCAAAAAACTTACAATGCCTCTTAAAAGATAAGTTCACCTTTTAGAAAAAAATTATAAATGCACATTTTTTTGCAGGTAGAAAAATGTGCATTTATTATTTTTGTTTGCAGGAGCCTGTAAACCATTGCACCAGCAATCATCAGATCACTAGTGCCATGCAGGTCTCCTGGGATGGGATGTACAAGCCAGCAGATATACTGACAGGAAGAATGAATGAACTACCATGGTGCTTCACAGTGCCGTGGTAGTTCATTGAGGTCTAGTTCAGTCACATTCTTAGGCTTGCGCACTGCAACTGCTTTCTTTAAGTCCCACCAGAGGTTCTCAATCGGATTTAAGTCTGGTGACTGCGATGGCCACTCCAAAATGTTCCAGCCTTTCCTCTGCAACCATGCTCTAGTGGACTTGGAGGTATGCTTGGGATCATTGTCCTGTTGAAAGGTCCAACGTCTCCCAAGCCTCAGGTGTGTGACGGACTGCATCACGTTTCCATCCAATATCTCCTGGTACTGAAGAGAATTCTTGGTACCTTGCACACGCTGAAGCTTCCCTGTACCTGCAGAAGCAAAAACAGCCCCAAAGCATGATTGACCCTCCACCATGCTTCACAGTAGGCAAGGTGTTCTTTTCATCATAGGCCTTGTTCTTCCTCCTCCAAACATAGCGTTGATCCATGGGCCCAAACAGTTCTAATTTTGTTTCATCAGTCCACAGAACACTATCCCACAACTTTTGTGGTTTGTCCACATGGCTTTTGGCATACTGCAGTCGACTCTTCTTATTCTTTGGAGACAGCAAGGGGGTACGCCTGGGAGTTCTGGCACGGAGGCCTTCATTACGCAGTGTGCGTCTTATTGTCTGGGCTGAAACTTCTGTACCCACATCTGACAAATCTTTTCTCAGTTCCTCAGCAGTCACACGGGGACTTCTCTCCACTCTACGCTTCAGGTAGCGCACAGCAGTCGAAGTCAGCATCTTCTTTCTGCCACGACCAGGTAGCGTTTCAACAGTGCCCTTTGCCTTGAATTTGCGAATGATGCTTCCTAAGGTGTCTCTTGGTATGTTTAACATCTTTGCAATCTTCTTATAGCCATTGCCCTTCCTGTGAAGAGAAATCACCTCTTCTCTTGTCTTCCTGGACCATTCTCTTGCCTTCACCATGTTTGTAACCACACCAGTAAATGTCTAGAAGGAGCTGAGTATCACAGTCATTTTAAAGCTGCCTAATTGGTGCTTATTATGCTTGATTGCTGCTCGGTGACATCCACAGGTGTTTTCAATACCTGATGGAAAGCACCTGTATGAACCTCTGTTCTTCAGAGTGGTAGTCTTTAAGGGGTTGAATAATTGTGGCAATGAAGAAACCACATAAGAACCATTTACTACTGTATTACATAAACAATTGATGTCATTTTAGTTGCATTTGGGTAGTTACACAACGTCCTTGTAGGATTTGATTCTGAATACAATTCCAAATGTACACTATAGTCCCTAAACCCCTTTACAGCATTGGGGGTTGAATAATTTTGGTCACAACTGTATAGTCTCTCATTCACAGATGACTGTGAATGAGTGACGTGCAGGGCGGATTGAACAACTCATGGGGCCCCCCGTGCAATAGGGGATCATGGGGCCCCCCTGTGTCCTTGTCCAAAGTCAAAAAAGCCTATGAAAAAGGTACCAGGGGCATCTCATGGGGCCCCCTACTGACCCCCGGGCCCTCGGGCAGTGCCCGAGTTTCCCAAATGGTCAGTCCCCCCTGGTGACGTGGCAGTGTGGGCCAGTTTTTTTAAAAAAATTGACAGCTAGCGAGGGGAGAGAAGATCCCCCGCTAGCTGTCAAAGCGGGGAGCAGGAGTTAACAGGGGCCAGTCTGGATGATCATAACATGTTACACCCTGAATATGGGTGTAACATGTAACATGTTATGAAAGGTGAACTTATCCATTAAATATCTCAGACTGTCTTCTTTGCCAAAAGGGGTCATTTTGGGGGGTAATTTTTACTGTCATTAGCTTTTAAGGGCCTCAAGAAATGAGCTAGGGCATCAGTACTTCAGATTTGATCAATTTTCATCTATCTATCTATCTATCTATCATCTATCTATCTATCTATCTACTTAAATAACCATAGTTTTTGCCGATGCAATAACTTTCACATAGACTAAATAATCCCCTTTTGGGGTTT